GGGACGCAAGGATCAGTTGATCCCTCGGTTACTTTTGATTATACCGCTAACGGCACGACGGATGATAATGCAAAATATCACGATTTCCGTTATTCGACTAACGACTACCGACCCGATTGGTATTTTGAAGAGGTTTTGATGAAAATGAGGTCTAATTTCCTGGTTGGTCAAAAAGGGATTTCTCCACAAAATGTCAAAGACCTGGCAATCATCAATAAGAGACAGGTTGCAATTCTACACGACAACGTTTACGATCTTACTCCATACATCACCGGTGGTCGTGCTGCTGTTGGTCCTGGTGGGTCTCCGGTTTCTGGAGTTGACAAAGATTTCATGTTAAGTTATGTTGTTGATCTTTTTACGACCGATAGTGGCCTTGACATCAGCAAGAAGTTCGACGCTCTGCGTATCGACTCGACGCTCCGAAGGAACCAATTGACATGTTTACGTAATTTGTTCTATATCGGAAAGGTGGATCATCGTAATTCTCCGCAGTGTCTGTTTTCAAGATATATCTTGCTTGTATTCTCCGGAATATTGGTTGCGGTCATCTTGTTCAAGTTTTTGGCTGCCTTACAGTTGGGCGCTAGACGTGAACCGGAGGAACATGACAAGTTTGTCATATGCCAAGTCCCGTGCTATACTGAGGGCGATGAATCAATGCGTAAAACGTTGGACTCTCTGGCCGTATTGAAATATGATGATAAACGAAAACTTCTGTTCATAGTTTGCGACGGGATGGTCGTAGGTGCCGGAAACGATCGTCCAACACCAATTATAGTTTTGGATATTCTTGGAGTAGATCCAAACGTAGATCCTGAACCGCTCAGCTTCATCTCCCTCGGCGATGGCGCCAAGCAACACAACATGGGAAAAGTTTATTCTGGTTTATATGAGTGCAACGGACATGTTGTTCCTTATATTGTGGTGATCAAAGTTGGAAAACAAAATGAACGACGTCCTGGTAATCGTGGGAAACGTGATTCTCAAATGTTGCTCATGCGCTTCTTGAACAAAGTCCATTTTGATTCTGAGATGGCACCTTTGGAGTTGGAAATGTTTCATCAAATTAAAAATGTAATTGGGGTGAATCCCTCTTTCTACGAATATATTCTTATGGTGGATGCGGATACTGAGGTCATGCCCGATTCTTTGAACCGACTTATTTCTGCATTTATGCATGACACGAAAGTCATGGGTCTTTGCGGAGAGACAAATTTATCCAATGAAAAAGATTCTTGGGTTACCATGATTCAAGTCTACGAATACTACATATCCCATCACCTTGCGAAAGCCTTCGAATCTCTCTTTGGCACTGTAACTTGTTTACCTGGTTGTTTTTGCATGTACCGCGTGCGCACGCCAGACTCGCACAAACCTTTATTAGTAAGCAATCAAGTTATCGAAGATTACTCCGAGAACATCGTGGACACCCTTCACAAAAAGAATTTGCTTCATCTCGGTGAAGATCGTTACCTGACCACTCTCATGATGAAGCATTTCCCGAATTACAAGTTGATGTTCGTCCCAGACGCTCAATGTAAAACCACGGCTCCCGATCAATGGTCTGTGCTCATCTCTCAGCGTCGTCGATGGATTAATTCTACTGTTCACAACCTGATGGAATTGGTATTCTTGCCACAACTTTGCGGTTTTTGCTGTTTCTCCATGCGTTTCGTGGTCATGATCGATTTATTTGCCACGCTGATCATGCCGGCAACAGTTGGTTACCTTGGTTATCTTATTTATTCGGTCATCGTAAACCCTACGACGATTCCCGTCACGTCCCTGCTGCTGTTGGCTGCTGTTTACGGTCTTCAGGCCGTCATATTCGTTCTTCGCCGAAAATGGGAACACGTTTGTTGGATGATTGTTTACATTGTTGCCATGCCTGTTTTCTCTTTCTATCTTCCCATCTACGCATTTTGGCATTTTGACGATTTCTCGTGGGGTAACACTCGTGTGGCGAAAGGCGAGAAAGGCAAGAAAGTGCTTGTTTCTGATGAAGGCAAGTTTAATCCAAAGGAAATTCCATTGAAGAAATGGTCCGATTACGAACAAGAACCGTGGGAAGTTAATACACAAGTATCTCAAGAATCCTCTCACTCGAGAACTTCAGATCGATCGTATAGGAGTAACCGTTCGGCCAAAAAAACGGGCTCTCGGGCCGGGTCCATGTACGGAGATTACGATAATAAAGGTCGACCTCGTTCTCCGGCTCCTCCATTCGATGATGTGAAACGGCCTTATAGTCCTGGCGATGTGCGAGCATCTCGTGCATATTCCAATGCGCCTGGCGGCGAATATGAATCAAGACCCGTTAGTCTAGCGGACGGTGGATATTATGGAAGTGCGATAATTGATTCCAGCTTTCCTTCCGATGACGAAATTCTCCGAGAGATTAGAAACATCTTGGCTAACGCCAATCTCATGTCGATCACAAAGAAACAAGTTCGCGATGATCTGTCACACTACTTTGGCATGGATATGAGTCCCAAGAAAGAATACATTAATAATTGTATAGAATTGATTCTACAGGGGAAACTGTGAGACAAACATTTTAATTTATGAGATTATGAGGTTCCATGTTCTAGATTCGCTGAACCCTCTCTCAAAAAGTAATAT